TTTGGAATGGTCCATACTCATGCTATATTATGGTATGTCAGTAAATGTAGATATTTAGTATTAATTTCCATGTTATGCTTACACTAGTTACTACAATGTTTGCCATCAGCTATAGCCTAAGCCTATCTACATAATATGCGGTCTGAAACCTACAACGTAGATATAGTCTCTTGTCTCATCGAATTTGCATTTTAATTTTCGGCCGCTTATACGCTACAACTCGTCATGTTGTAATTATATTGTATCTATAGATCGAAGGCAAAGTCTACAGAAAGTGGATTCGTTTCAATTTTCTTCAAAATCTCTCAAAAACCCAATTCTACCCAGACGAAGCTATAATTTTCATAGTGTTTACATATCGAAAGGTCGTACTGTGTCATACTGCATACGTCACTGACCGCGCGATGGAATGTCAGGAATTTCGCCAGTAGATAGTCGAAAAAGCGAACTTTAATCGTAAAATTAACAAACTTCTGGTTCGAATTTTTCAACAAGGTTTGTATTTTTATGATCGGAAAAGACCAAATTTTCAGAAAATGCAAAAAACCCGATATCGAAATTTTCATTTCATATACACTTTAAGCAAGTGACGTTTTTGACAACACGAACGGCATGAGTAACGTCAGAAGACTGGGTCAAGGGCTGTGATTGGTGAAAAACGTCAACTTTACTTCCGGTCGACGTCCGTGTTGTCAAAAACGTCACTTGCTTAAGATTAGATACTATAAAGATGTGTCACTCTGCGAAAATTATGTCCGAGATTTTTTTATAGCCGCCATTTTGCCAGTAAGTGTCAAATTCGTCAAAATTCGTCATATAGCGCGAGCATCGCGATGGCAACCTATTGTATTCAGTCCACTGATTCAGTCCAGATCATTGAACTATAAATAAACTGGAAGGCTAACTCAGGGGGGGAAATTGAAGCCAGTGTATTTTAGTTTTTCTGAGTTATGAGCAGAAATACTCAACACTGAACGTTGGGCAATATATCAAATTGAAGCTATTGAAAAACGCTATTTGGTGTAGAAATTTCAAGACTTTAGCTAAAAGGGAAATATTGAAAAACTACAAACATAATTACCGATAATTTGCCATTTTGCAGTTGTTTTTGTATTTTTTAAATATTTTTCTTTTCGCTGAAGTCTTGAAATTTCCACACCGAATAGCAATTTTCAATAGCTTCATTTTGGTATATAGCCGAACGTTTGGGGTCAAGTATTTCTGCTCATAACTCAGAAAAACTATTTTGGCTTCATCAAATCATAGGCCTTCATCATAGCAGTTAGCCTTCCAGTTTATTTATAGTTCAATGATTCAGTCTCGCCGCCATTTTGGCAGTAAGTGTTATGCACTCGTCATCTCGCGTGATCACTCGTGATCAGCACGGAAAATTACGGACACGCAAACATTAGGGAAATACGTCGAGTGACACATCTTTATAGTATCTAATCTTTGACTACAGCGAGCAAAATCGGCCCGACAAATCGCAGCGTGTAAACGTACCTTTATCAAGTGATCCTCGGCAAAGAATCGGGTCCTTACGCTTGTGCACTCGCTAACCCCCCCCCCCCAACACTCCACAACTGATTTCGTTTACTGTATAACGAACAACCGCATACAGTAGCCGTAGCGTAGATTGCTGGCTCAAGATTTGTTCAAGACCGAGTTGGATTGTGGTATATCCCTCTTTCTTTCGACAAAATGGTGAGCTTTCTTCTTGTAAATTGTTATGATTAAATTCCCTTGCATCCTAGCCAGTATAAATGTAAAAATGCTGAAAATAGAATAGTTTTAGTTACTACAGACTAGGTTAAAACCTGCAATACTGTTCTTTTAGCACTGAAACGGATATATTGCTTATAACTGTTGCTCAAAACTAGCGTATATTTGTTCCCTTATATATTACATATTTTCAAAGTTTGGGGATACTTTTAAATTTATAGTAAAGTTAGCTAGTGTAGTAAGGGTTTGGTGTATTAATGAACTGTAACAGTTCAATTGGCAGACATTTATCATTTTATAAAATGTGGTTAGCCCAATTTATAGCACTAGAGTGGGATGATGTGGTAGAACGACCAGCTAGAAGTTTGGCAAAGAAATTAATCAGATTTAGTTTTAGATTAGTAAGACCCGTTTCAGACGGCGTACTCTTCATATGCCGAACTTAATTGTATTAGATGCGACACAAGAACGGCAGTGATTCAAACTGCGTACCAAATACAATGTTATTGACAAGGTCAGGGCGCATTCGCCAGCGAAACCTAAATAAAATTCAAAATAAATAAGTTTATTTTTAGACTAAAGTTGAGTTAAGTTTGGCATATGAGTCGAGCGGCGTATGAATCAATGTCGCTCCAACGTCGCATAATGCGACAAGCTCTGCCGAACGTGTGTTGAACTTACGTCGCTGTTCTGCCGTACCTAATTCATCAATTAAGTTTGGCACATGATAAGTACGCTGTCTGAAATGGGCCTAATTATTCTGATATAAATATATTAAACAGACAAATTAGACCTGGTTTATATAGCATGCTGTGAGCATAGCAAACCAATTGTCAAATTGCTATAGCCATATTAGCCAGCCGTCCAGGGTGCATTCCATGTAAACTTTATGCTGAAGATACACCAATATTACAGTCAATTTCAGCTGACTTTTCATCGTAAGATTCCGAACTTTGTTCCGAACTTCGCAAATTCGT